AATGATTTCATTAGCTGACTTTCAATTCACCTGTCTATTGCTAAAATCAACATTTTATGTGAACCACCGAGGTAATACCGACACATGTAACATAATGACAAAGTCCAGTATTTTCCAGTGGATTTAACTACGATTTGTTGATATGTTGCGTGACAACGCCAGTTTCCGTAGGTCCACAAACTGCCTTCAAAATTCATGCTAAACATTTTTACTTTAACTGGTAATGTTTTCAGGCTCTTGCTTGGAGAACAGAAGTTCACGAATTTAATTCCCAGGTGAGGCGAGATTTTTTAACTTTTCTTTTTTCTTGTGTTTTTTACCTTCCGATTTTGTGTTCGTGTGGAACTTTTAATCGACTTTTTGGATGCAGATCTCACTATGCCAGCGCCACAAAAGGAAACTTTTTCGCGATCTAAAACTTAGGTTTGTGAAGGAAGAACCATGACAACCATCCCTTAGTACAATCGAATAATTCAAGTCCGTATTAATAGCTTTTGTCCCGATGTAGTCTACCTTGAGAGCAGAGTCTCCTTCGATCTTCCTGATTTTTCTAGGAAGACAGAGGGAGGCTTTGTTGGCCGGGTAGGTGTAATCAAGGCCGGGAATCAAATATAGGGTCAAGTATAGACACCCACAGCTATTCAATTCAGCTTCATACAAGTGACATCTTAGACCATCTCTCATGACGGTACCCGTGTCACGTTATGATGTCTAGCAAAATCAATCCCGCAATCTAATTTATAGACATGCCACAAGTCGACCTTTTCTTAATCCTTGACTTGTTTATCTCCCTCGATCAAAGCGAGGGAGTAATCTTCGAGCGACGAATTCGCGAGCGCGAGCGACGTAAGTCGCAACAGGCCAGGGAAGAATTATTGGTAAGGACTTTTAGAAAGTCTATTTAATTTAGTCTACCACAGACCCTCTATTTTTTCTCGAGTTCGCCTAGTTCGCCCTACCCAGTCAAGTCTTCCGTTTTCCGTTGGCGTCCAGTTCTCTAGCGATATCCACTCGTTCAACGATGGAATAAAAAATTCGAGAAAATAGAAGGCTGTGAACAATCTAGCCAAAACGCAATGGGCTGGCGCCGGGAAGAGACAAAAATAGAAGAATCTTATTTAAAAAAATAGAAATCTTACTTCTGGAGTTGATGCCAGAAAGTTCTCTGTTTTCATAGATTCATTTCTCACAGGCTACTTTTAGATACGCAATTTGTGTCGCCATGAGTCCTGCTGCGATTTTTGTCGTGCCTAGGGTTGGTCTAGGGTTGCAACTCCAAATCACGCGTGTAAAGTGATGCTAGATGTTTCAAACTTACGAGGGAAACATCATCACCCTTGCTAATGACACGTGTGTGCTCGTTCCGATAAAAAATTCCTGTTCACGTTTCATGTAAATTCTAGCGATATCGCTGCCATACAGGCAGACATACATACATGCATATTCTTTTTGATGAGGCAGGTCTGCATTTGGCAACCCAAGGGCTTCTGTGGACCAGCAATTAACTTCCTCTCAAAACGTTCTAAACTATGATTATTATGTCACATTGATCACGCTTAAATTGCAACTGGTTGCAATGAGAGGGCGATTAAAATTTGCAGTGAAAATCGTGAGAACAATTGAACTTGTAATTAAAAGGCGGCGAAATACGAGATACAAAAACCCGCAACTTGTCGCGCAACATTGTTTCGTTGCAAGTTTTGGATCGATGTTTCGCGTTTTTCACCTTGCGTGATCAACTTGTCGCGCAACAAAAACATTAGTTGCGGGTTGAAGAAATGCAGCGGGCTGATCGGTTGATTTGCTTTGTGTGGATGCGTGACAAGTTGTGAGTTTGATGAAAAACGAGCAACAAAGCCAAAATTTGTTGCTCAAAGCAGACCCGCGCTCTACTTTTCGCAACAACTTTCTTCAACCCGCAACAAATGCTTTTGCTGCGCGACAAGTTGATCACGCAAGGTGAAAAACGCGAAACATCGACCCAAAACTTGCAACGAAACAATGTTGCGCTTATATACACTCTTTCTTCATAAGAAGATTGTTTTTTCCGGCCCAGGCTGAAGATTCCTATTTTTCTGCCGATTTTAGGCTGAAAATATTATTGTGAATACTCTTAGACTATAGGAATAAAAAGTTGACCATGTCGACAAAACAGTCAAATTATCTGTTCTATCATGACTTTGATGACGTTGAAGTAATTTTTGAGCCAGACTGCGGGCAGCAACGTCTGATTTGACACACATAACTTCTTGCAGAAATGGTATTCGATCGAAAACACAGCTTACAGTACCGTTTGTTGTTTTTTGGCTGCTTTAGGGAAGGAATAACTTTTATACAGCTTATACAAATTCTCAACACAAAAAGTGATATTTTTTTTCAAAATCTGGGCCTCGGGTTTATTCTGAATTTCTTATATATATATATTTCTCAAATTTCAGCCTCGAGATTGTTGTAAAATATATTCTTATAAAAAAGAAAGAGTTTATGGCCAGAAATCCTCATTGAAAAACAAAATTAACGTCAGTTTTTAATGCGTCTGTCCTGTTATTGACAATGAATTTCGTCATAACATTGTCAAAGTAGTCTACGAATCCACTTGGCTATCGCCTCGTGGATCCATAGCTACTTTGACAATGTTATGATGAAATTCAAAACATGATCAATAACAGGACAGACGCATGAAAAAGTGACGTCAATTTGTTTGGCACAGCTTTCGAAGAGCTCGTGATCATGTGTTTCGCGAAATGTAGATTAATATGTAGAAAATGTAGGCAATTTTAAAAACTTTTACGCCTCTTTTAGAGAAGACACCAAAAAATCTGGTTCCCTCGATATGACAAGCAATCCCCTCACAGAACTAGCTTGAATTGCTATTAGTAAATTTCGACTAGGGAATCATAAATTACGTATTGAAACAGGTAGACACACAATACCGAAGACCCCTATGAGATATTGTTCTTGCCACGAGAACATAAAATTCATATCTTCGAGCTAACGTGTAATGTTCTTGTTATTATATAGACATACCGTTGACGGCGTTTTTGACGATTTTCCGAAGATTTCCGAAAATTCTCCAAAACTTGTCCGAAGGTCACGCGAACGTTGCCGAACATTTTAGAAGATTTCCGAAGATTACCGAAGATTGCCGAAGGCTTTCGAGGAAGACCCGAAGATGTGTCGATCATACACCAACGAATTTAAATACAATTTATGAAGCAAGCTTGATATCAGTGAAATCATCATGGATATCTTTACTTGTGAGGATATGGAAAATACGTTACTCGAGTAGTCCCAGATGTGGTTTCGTATGAATTTTACGAGTGGTGTATTTCCCAGTAAAACACTCGTGTCTATATAATAAAGTCTGTTTCATGAGTTAGACAATAATGCGGAAGTATTGTTTCTCTTTAACGGCACTGATCCTCCTGTATGTCGAGCAACTGCTGCTTTTATTTTCCAAGCAATGTACTTTAGACATGAAATTTCGTTTGTAGTCTTTGTAAAATTAGTTTTGTTTTTATTTTGGCGGATATTATATTTTCGACGGTTAGTTTAGTAGGTAATGCCATGTATTGTTATGGAAATGCATAAATAAATCGTTGTTGTTGTTGTTGATTCTGCAGGTTGGGATTTTACATGTAAAACCATGCATGCATTTTCCTCATTTATGTTATCAGTTTATAGATCAGTCAGTCACTTCGATCTGTTCCGTTACCGGCGTCTCATTGCGTTGCACTAAATACATTAATTAAGCAGTCATTTGTTATCACATTCGCAAGTAGCCTGTAAGGAGATATGTGTATTATCTGAGAATGCGAATGTATAATGTGGAGTTTGATAGACTACGAGTAGTCCCTCTTTCGCTTTATCCGTCGTGCGTGACGCGAAATAAAACCGCGGGAAAAAAATTACCGCTCAAAATCCTGGGGGTGACATGTACAGCTTGATAGTTATAATCACTTATGACAAGCGTCTCTTAAAGGAGAAGTTCACTCCAGAAAGGTTACTTTCTTTGTCTTCGTCTACAGCAAGTAAACATTCAGCTTTTCCACTCACCGAAGTCTCAGCCTCTGAAGGGCCCGCTATCCTGAAGAAATTCGTCTCGAAAGAAGCGACTTCGGAGGCCGCCATTTTGAAACTGTCTCGTGTTTATGTGACACCATTCCGTCCGACTCGATATTGGCGTCAGGGAGAAAAACCTGCAACTGACTTGGCATCCTTCACAATGTCAGCAAAATCTATTTTTTCCAAGAGATTGTCCACTTCATTCTCTTTAATGTTGTCATTTCCGAGTTTGGGGTAATAATATGATGTGGCTCAAGGGCAGCCATGACCCATAGTGGTGGTTATACGTTAAAAGGCTTGTCGGAAGCCATTTGGACAAAATCTCTCGGACGTAATGACACCACGAAAACGCGGCCTGAGGGCTGAGTACCGTTCAAAATGGCGGTAATAATGTTAGAATTTTGGGCTTCTTTGGAGACGAAATTCATAAGGAAAACCTGCATTTTACAGGCTGAAACCGGTGAGTGGCCAAACTCGGTAGAGAAAATGGTCCACCAAAAGAAAAATATGGGTCATCGAATGTCCAAGATTGTTAAATCTAGGCAAAGCTATATCAATGGCCTTCTGGCCTATTATTGTTCATTTTATTACTTAGCGCGCGCAGGATGCATGACGTGGCATGTGAATTTGCGTGCGCAGTAAGGATGCGCAGAAAAAATTAGCGCGAACGTCCTTGATAGCGTTTCAATTGGCACTTATAATTTTTTTTCCAAACTTAACATGTTCACAAACTGAAACAATGTACAAATCTAATACTACATACACTTTTAACTAGATCGGTGAACGTGATCACATATTAAATATCAATTTCGATCTCGTCCTCGTCCTCATCCATATCACTTATGTGAACTGATCATCGACCAGGAGGGGAAAGGGGGGGGGGGTGCGATTATTCGAGGGGAGGCGCTTATTTTGAATTTTGGCCGATAGGAGGGGCACTTATTCGAAGGTGGCGCTTATTCGAGGGGAGGCGCTAATTTGGGGATTTACGGTATACAGTAAAAGTCTGAGTGTAAGCCTTGGAAATTAAGCAGTTCTTAAAAAAAAGTCCATTCCCATGTTTAGGCTACGTAACCTCAGCTGTCATAATGTTTATTCGACACGGCCTTCTTTCTGCAACTGGCTCCACCGCAGTTTGGAAAAACTCTTTGGGGCTATGGGAGAGTTTATAAGCAACCGTCCTTCTACGGTCGTAGCATTTGCCGTCGTGCTTGTAGGGGTATGTTCAGTTGGTTTCTTGTGGTTAAACCCTGAAGGTAGAGCAGCTGAGCGTTTTGTACCCCAGGACGGCAAAGCTGTTCAAGATCTGAACAAGGCAAACAACTTCTTTCCCATGAAATTTCGTCAAGAAGAGGTGATTATTGCTGCTAAAGATGGAGGCAACGTCCTTGGATTTAAATATTTCCGAGAAGCCCTTCAGGTACACAAGGTGATTGAAAACTTGACAGGCTACACTGATATATGCCTGACAAGGTCTGGATATAAAGCAACATCAAGAGAATTCTGCATGGCTATCAATCCTTTAGAGCTTTATAACTTCAGTGAGGCAAACTTCGTTAACATCACAGGAAAAATAAACGCGGCTTCAATCTATCCAGGAATTGTGACTATGAGCAATGGTCGACCATCCTGCTTAAACATGCCTAAAATGTTTGGCGGCATAAACAAAAGTAAATCCACTAATGAAATCCTGAGTGCACAAGCAATGAAGATAACGTACCTTGTCAAAGAGCCTAGGAGTGACGAAGAGAGAGATCAAGTCGAAGCCTGGGAAGATTCATTTGTCAAAATACTCTTGTCTCTCAAAGATGACTTGTCTAGTGTTATGCTTTACATTTCTGCCGAGAAGAGTTTGGACGATGCCATTGCCGAGAGCAGTTCATCCGACATCCGTTTTTTTGCCCTTACGTTTACCCTCATGTTGCAGTTTGCAAGTTTTATGATTGGAAAACTTTTCCGGAATCCGCTAACTGGGCACTCTCTGCTTGCTTTAGGTGGTACCTTTTCTGTGGGTCTTGGTATCTTAGCTGGGTTTTCTTTAGCAATGTTGATACGAACCCCTTTCACAAGAATTGTGGGTGTCCTGCCCTTTCTTGCTATTGGCATTGGTCTTGATGATATGTTTATCATTGTTGACTATTTGGATCGCCAGGAACGCCATTTGACAGTGCCCATGACAGTGCGTAAAGTGATGTCAGAAACTGGAGTGACAGTTACCATGACAACACTTACTGACCTGGAGGCGTTTGCTGTTGGTAGCTCGTCTCAGTTTCCCTCCATCGCTTACTTCTGCACATATGCCGCTTTAACAATCAGCTGTGCATTTCTCATGATTGTAAGCGTGTTTGTGGCTCTGCTATCATTCGACGTGCGAAGAATTAAAGCGAATCGACGCAACTGTCTTCCAGTGTGTTTTGCGCCTGCCCCAAAACAGGGGCAACCTCCATGGGATGAACCACGCCCTCAAGCATCGAACAGATTGATGGAAAGGTGGGGAAAGTTCCTCATGCGTCCAACAACGAAGGCTTTGGTTTTAGTCATCTCGCTTGGCTTATTGGCAGGGGGAATATATGCCACCCTTCACCTAGATCAAGAATTTGACCGATCCTTATTAGCCAAAGAAGATTCCTACTACAAAGCCTTCATGAAAATAGATCATGAATATTTCAGACTTCCCACACAGGCGAGCGTTGTTTTAGGTGGAAATGTGCAGTACAGGAAGTTGTCTACACAGAATGAAGTTATCAGGCTTTCAGAAATAGTGGCAGAGAACAAATACTTTAAAGAAGATACAATTACATGGATGGGCTCCTTCTTGAAGTACTGTAGAGATCAGAACAAAACTTGTGATGGTGAAAGCTTCATGGGTAATTTGAAACTGTTCCTGAACGCCTCGCAGTTTACTTACTTTAAAGAAGACATCAAATTTGATCAGAAGGAGAATGATATTGAAGCCACACGCATCATTGTTTACATGAAGAGCTCTACAAGCTCGATTTATAGAAAAGATGCAATGCTGTCCATACGTAAAGATCTTTCCAGCAAGTCCCAGTTGCCTGTTTACATAGCCTCTGCATCATTCACTTTCCTTGAACAGTACGCAGCCATAGCTTCTGAAACGATTCGTAACCTGACCATTGCATCATTAGTAATTCTCATTGTTACTGCTCCATTCTTGGTCAACCTAAGTGTTTCGCTGTTGGTCTTCTTTGATTTTGTGTCTCTGATTTTTGAGTTGTTTGGCATGATGTGGCTGTGGGATGTCTCCCTTAACTCGATATCCGTGATCAATTTGGTCATGGCTATTGGCTTTGCTGTTGACTACAGTGCTCATGTGGCCCACGCCTTTGTAGTTGCTCCTGGCAGCTCAGCTGAGAAGAGAGTTATTGATGCACTTACTCATGTTGGAGCCAGTGTTCTACTAGGAGGTAAGTTCTATATTAATGAGAAAATATTTTCAAATCAAATAACCCGCAAAGAAAATCAAAAGCAACAACAACAGCATTGACTGAGTCATCCAAATGCAAGGAGAATCGCAAAAAGAAAAACAGGTGTAATCTTCAAGTAATTATAAGCGTAAGATGACGTGATGATAAAATGAACTTGATCAATGTAGCTTTTTGAATAAAGGGAACAACTATACATAAGAAAATAGCCCAAAGAAAATACGCTCGCTGGTTGGTCTAAAATCGTGTTTCTATTAAGCAATTAGATTATGAGTTCGAGATTTCTATCGCGCCATAGTTGACGAGGGCGAGTATGAATCTACTATTCGTTCAAAACTTTACCTAAATCATGTTCACAGACACTTCGAAAACGCCAAGAAGCGGCCGTTATTTTGTTAACAAGCGCACACTACTATGTTACTCACTGTCTAACACAGAATAGATAGTGATTAGCGTAACCAATCAGAGAACGGCATTCGTGATAGAACGCTAGTAGATTTATACTAAAACCCGACAGAAACACAAAACTAGCACGAGCCTATTGACGTAATGATGGCATGAGCAAAGAGAATTCACATTTTGATGATCAAAGTAAAGAAGTTGTTTTCTTTATTTCTTCGCGGAATTTTCTAAAAGAAATAGAAAACATGTTCTTTGTGTTTCTGTCGAGTTGCAAAAACATTTGTGAAACCATTACCATTGACATTACCATTGTCATTATCATTATAATTATTATTGTTATTTATTTATTTATTGTTTTATTTTTAGGTGCTAGTACCCTCGTTGGAATTGGAATGACAGCCTTATCTAAGTCAGAGATATTTCAGATCTTTTTCAAGATGTTCTTCAGCATGATCTTTCTTGGTCTTCTCCATGGGCTTTGCATTCTGCCAGTTCATCTGTCAATTTTCCACAGGCTCACCACGTTTACCCATGCAAACAAGAGTGGTACATTGCGTGATGGTCATGATGTTGGAGATTCCTGTTTGAAGGAAGGCAACATTAACCCAGGGATAGAGGTCGAGACAGAACTCCATGACAATCATATAGAACAATCTGCCGATACCATAGCTTTAAAGACAGAGGGACTCAATGGCGCTCACTTGAAAGGTAGGATAATACTCATTAATTACCGAGAATCGTTAAAGTAAGTTTGTTCATATCAATGTAGCATACGTAGCAGGCGAAAACACGAAGGAGAGTGAGAGAAGGGA